CCCCTTGAGGCTATATCAGGTCTCGGGCGTAAGTCTGATGTAACCCTCACTTTTCACCTCGCTTGTCTCATAATGTCCTCCGTTCAGGTGTCTTTCGACAATCTTCACTCGGATCCTCGAACAGTGCAGCGGTACGAGCCGTCGTCGACACATGGGTACCCCCAATATCCGTCATCACACCATGATACGTACCTGGAGCGGTTCTCCTCGAGCGCTCAATCCGACGCACTCCAGCATTTCTATCCCGACGCGGCACACTTGACCGAGCAGTACGACGCACTTTCAGGCCACTACCATATGTCTGCCATGGATAGCGCCTTCTTTGAGCCTCATTTCTGTCACGATGAACACGCACGATCTCCCCACCATGTGCCGTGGATCTGCCAGGACTCGAACGACGGATCTGGTGTGCAACCATACAACCCCATTCCCAACTCCGTCGTCATGCACATCATTGATTCGGCCATCGATTTCTCGCACACCACTCTGACTCGCCGCGCAAACCTTGCGGCCCAAGCCGCACAGTACCAGCCGGCGGCGGGGTCGTCGCAGGATGCGTTCTCTGGCGAGTTGGACCCCGAGACCGGGCAATTCCGCCGGGCGGTCCCACACAATCGCCAAAGAACGGTGCAAGCTTGCGAGCCGTGTCGTAAGCGGAAGGCTAAGGTGCGTCTCATTCGTGTGGGGTTCCTCCTCCGTCTCATGCCCTGGCTTCACAGTGCAGCGGCGGCACTCTATGCGGAAGGTGTCTCAGCAAGGGTCTCCAGTGCGTATACGCTCCAGAGCGGAAGATGCGCGGTCCCAACAAGCACAAGCGCAAGAGCAGCAACGCTCCGACGCCTGAGGACAACATCCCCATGCCCCCTTCTGGACGTCACCGCCGCGGTTCGGTGTCCTCCGCGATCAGCTCGACCTCGGACGGCGCAACCTCTGACCATCCGTCCGACGGCTCGCCTGCCTCGGTCGTCGTCGACCTTCCTGATCATTCGTCCATACATAGTAGCCCCGCCCGTGCGACTCTCAGCCTCCCTTCCGGCGCATCTGCTAGTCGTCGTCGCGCGGCGACCGTCGGCTCTTTCCAACTTCCGCCCTTCAAGGTCTCTCCCGTACCGAGCTCTTCCGCCCAAGCCCCACCCGTCGGCGCGCGGTCCCGCCCGCGACCTCCTTCGCTCAATCTCGCTGGCACGCGCGACTATGTCCCACAAATGCTCGCACAGTACACTAGGAGCGCGGACCAGGCCCACTTCCCCGTCGAGGTGTCTGGACGCGACTCGCGACCCACCTCCCTGCCACCGTACCTGCTCGAGTCCTACTCTCGCATCGCGCTCTCCATCCCCGAGGAGAACGAGAGGTACGTGTGCTCATTTGTTATATAACGTGACACCGTGTTGACATCGTCGATAGCTCGACCTCGCAGGACATAAACAACTACCTGCAAGCCTCGCCTGCGGACGCGCTTTCTGTCTACTCCCATACGCGCACCAACTCCTCCGACGCGTCCGCCCCGATCACGCCCATTTCGCTCTCGTTCGAAGGCTCCGCCGATCTTCAGTACCCGGACAACATCTCCTCAATGTACGAGCACAACTTCGGATCTTTCGAATCTGCGACCTTTGACCAGCCGTCTGGAGGCGACTTTGATTTCGTTCGTGAGACATACCATCCAAAGAGCACGCCGGGATCCCCTCTTAGGGCTTGGGATGTCGCCGTTAGCTAGGCTGACTTGACGGTACTCCGCGAGGCGTGAACAATGTTTTTCTGCTGCCAATTGCTGTAATCGTCGCCGTACTTGTTTCCCATGTATCAATTACTCGTAGGCTCGGACCTTCATACCATACTCCCGTCATGTACAGTAAAAACTTGCTTTAGAATAGCCCAATTGCACGCGACGACAATATGAGCCCCCGATCGCCCCATGGTAGAGCTGAACTCTGATGTTCGACTGTCCGACATCGAACACCTGGTAAACTTGAGTACCGTCCATTGCAAAGCTCCCGGTTGAAGACACTCGTGCTGAGTGCGACCGAGTGGGGGACGGAAGTTGGGCTTGACTCGGAGGAGCTTCATGCTGATTTCCCCCATGATCGTGTTCCTAATACCAATCAGTGAGACCTCCACGCTCCCATGCAATAATACTACATCATTGAAACCAGGTACATAGCATATACACATGTCCACCAAAGCGTTTGTTGAATGCAACCACACAGTAGAGAACGATAAGGACAACGGGGTCTACCCAATGCCCATACAAGTCACCGAATGACCCGCTCCTTGCCAGCAGAACCTACTTTGCGAGGCTTCAGTAGAGAGTTCAGCAGGGTCATAAGTCCATACCACCCTATCACGCCCCGACAGCTCTCTGCTCCACGATCGACGTGACAGGCCCGGGGTCTGCATTACATCCAACCTTTTTTGCAAAGTGTTTCTTTACCTCGTCCTGCCACGATGGAAGAGGAACAAGTGTCTCGTTCCGATTCGACCGCTGGACGAGGATGTTGCGCCCGTCCCGAGCTGCTGGCAACGCTCGCCGCTCCTGTGCTCCACTCCCGAAGCAGTGCTCGTACAGTTGGAAGGTCTTGCCGAACAACGGAAGGGAGTCTCCGACGCTGAAGAAGTGGGAGAGATCCGCCTCCGCAACGGCGTTGACTGAGAACCCGGCGTCCACGCCGACACAACCCTCCCACTGCGGACGTGTTGAGGTGACCTTCCCGCCAGACTCTGTCGAGACGGACGCGGATGTCGAGGTGGAAAGCGAGAGGTCGAGCCCGGCGCTCGTGTCTAGCTCGAGGCTGACAGCAGTCTCTGCAAAGCCGTCGAGGAGATTGATGCCCATCGAGAGCGTCGGGATGATGTGCGCTTCGACCCGCGCATGGGTGCTCAGTCTGGGACTCGCCCCGAGTCTGAGGCCTGCCATGTAGATAAAGACCCAATCAGATGTGTCTTCTAGCGTCGACATGGCGAGGGCGTACCTGAATCCCCGGGAACGAATGAGCCGTTCGGTCGGATCGAGGGTGGAAAGAAGAGTTGCGCGCCGATGACGCTATATGAGAGATCCACGTCGAGGTCAAGGTTCGCACCGAGCATCGCACTTGCTTCCCCGTACACGGTTACATATGGACCGATTGCGACTACGCCCGGGATAGCTAGCCCGGGGATGCCTAGGACTGGCACTATCGGTACCTTTCCTGTGCTAATCGTACCCTGGGAGCATACTCAGCGACTGCAAAGGACCGATCTATTGGGCGGACTCACTGTCAATGAAGCGTCAATGTTGAGTGTACCGTTGATAACTGCATCCAGACCGACGTAGAGGCTGAAGTCGCTGATGTCGGGCGGAACGATCGTACCCGCGATGACAGCACCATACTCGACGGTACCATTGATCCTGCCTTTGACACTAACATCCACGCCGCCTGTGAACGCAGGTCGGAATCCGATGGACGGGCAAGAATGGGTCCGACTAAACAGCGAGACTTGGTCCGATTCGAGCTCGAACGGTTCCGGGTCACTTGTCTGGTTTCCTTCGAAATTATTGGTATCGTTGAGAGCAGCTACGGATGAGTCGTACCATCAGCACTCGGGTAAGGGAACAGAACTATTTTTGATTTGGCACTCACCCAGAATCGACCTCCTGATGGCAGGATGTTTCGAGAGTGAGGCATCTCCGACGAGGCCCCACGGTGGGTGCAACATCCCTGCAGCCTCTGGCGACGTAGCAAGCTGTACAGAGAACGTCACATTGCCATGCCTAGAGAGTATTCGAGTTCGTGTCAACAGCAAGAGACATGTTGCGTCTTCACAATAGGAGTCGGTCCGCCACACACCTCGTGGAGTCAATCTGGGAGTGATTACTCGTCAGACGTATGCCCCGGACAGTTGGCATTGAACCATCTCGACGCCTGAGTATGGACTGTTTACCATCGGGGATGCTCTGATCCCCATGTTCCCACTCGTATGCTACGATCGCGAACGGCTTCGAGGAGCACTGGAAAGGGGGGTCAAAAGTGGACACGAATGGACTGCAACGTGTTTGTGACAGGGAGGAAGACTGACCTCCTCCGGCAAGCGGACTACGGTATGTTCTGCTCCGTTCAGGTAAAGATGATTACAGCCTTTGCTTGGGTCATGGCATGCGACTCGGATGTCCTGACTAGCATCGGAATCACCGCATTCGACAACCGTCCAACCGGCAGCAACAGTCAGGTCTGAGATCGCCGTGGATGATCCATTCTGGACCACAAGGGAGCCGTGAGTCCGTGGAAATATGTACAGGAGTTGGTGGCTTGACTGACCACGCGAAGCGTTCCGTAGCCGCTGTCTGTCACGATGTTCCACTCGCATTCACCGAAATGGCAGGGTCCTGCGAGCTCAGAAGCCAACCCAGCCAGGGCCACCAGAAGGAGTGTGAGTGCAAGGGCAAGCTTGACCATCTGGTGGTCATGAATGGCAGTGAAGGAGACTGGGGGTATTTAGTTACTATCCTGTCAAGCAGCCGTGTTATATCAACTCACCATAGGATGAGAATAACGTCAAGCCGCATACGCTGTGCGGGCGTTGACACGGGGTGGTATGGCGGCGTGACCTTGTAGGCCGTGGCGAGATGAGCATCAGTCAATTGCGCTTCCTTGGCCGTAATTGACACATCGTTGTGGTTGAAGCGAGCGCGCACCGACGCCGATGTGGTCGACATGCTGATGGTTGCAGTGCCCCGTAGATGGCATTCCTATGTAGCGGATAAAGTTTTTTATTCTGCAAGGCGGCGACGCGCCGCTGCCAGCCAGCAGGACCACGGCGATGGGATATATCTGTGAATATGGTAGGAGTGTTAAGGCAGATCGGATGCGCGTTTGGCAGACCTTCTCATGCAACCGTGAAGATGCTTCGTCGAATGTCCACGGTTCAGGACAGTCTAGTACAGGTTGAAGAACTCGAACGGAAACTGGGGTCCGAATACAATTGAATGTGAGCCCAGGTAGAAATCAAATCTTCCCGCTTTCCGAACACTGATGGTGAAACGGTATCATGCTTGCCTTCCACTAACGTGTCTGTGCAATTAGCAAGCGGCGTGGGTTCGACTCCCGCTCAGTGTATTTCATTTTTGGTCGATTCGACATGTCATTGAATATAAGGAATCAGGCGACACGCAGGAGTACACATCACTGCATTGTCACCCTACATGGAGTCCACACAAATGTCCGTAAGAGTTCTCAGTCCAAATAGATTGCTATGCATGATAGAGAGGCTTCAGCTGTGCTGAACTCTGCCATGAACTGAGCATATAATACTTCATTTGAACGCATGGATAGACACTCACTGGACGTACCACCTCTGGTCGCTTGCAACGCAGAGACCGCCGTGAGCACCATTGCTCGCGGAGCAGTTTGAGGCAAGCCAATCCACGAGCTTTGACTTGAGACGGGTCAGAACCTCTTCGTGCGCATGAGTGGTGAAGCTTACCCATTCGGTGCGGCAATAGGTGAGTGTGTTGAAGTCTTGGTTCAGGAAGTAGGTGAGGCAGGTGTTATACTTCATCGTGATCTTGCTCGTGGACGTCTACATTACGCGGATCGGCGTCAGCATCATGGCGAGGATATGGATTCTGAGACTCGAATACGCACGTTGAACGGGGTGACGTTGAAGAGTACGCCGGTGTTCTGGCTTTCATAGAGCAACGCAGCAGATATGATGCTGCAGTCGGAGATGCTCGGCCCCCCTGCTGCCGGGCTCCAGCAAAACGTGTTACCTGTGCGTTGGACGGTCAACTTTGGTAGCTACTGCAGACGGTATGAACTCACAGGGCGCTCCGCATATGTTCGAGCTTTGCCGTTTGGTCAGAGAGGTGGCCTGACCGTGGGCGTCGACGACAGTCTCGCCATCGCAGTGCGAGACCTGAACTTCGACGTCCTTGTTCTTGCCAATGTACGTCGTGTACGCGATACGCTCATTCGTGCACTCCGGCTGGGGAACGAGCGAGACCGACGCAGCAGAGGTGATGCCGAGGAAGGTCGCAACAACGGCGAAAACTGAGACGAAATGCATGGCGCTGCGAGGTGAGGGCGATGGAGGAGAGTCGGTGGACTGAGCCGAACGGAGCATGATGCTCGTCCCATTTATACGGTGTCGCGTGGAGGTGGGGCCAGAGAAGGCCGATGGGGTCATGTGTCTCCGAACGAGTGCATCGGGGCAGCCTTAAGCTTCGAGGTGGGGCCAGTATGGCGGCCAATATGGTGAACGAGCAGCATAGATGGTCCAGCACGGACGCACGGCGTTCGAGTCCGAGCACGGGCAGGGGATCCCGATGCGATGCGCTTGGTATGTCCATTGTGGGTACGATTCGGGTTGATAACGTCGGCTAGACTGACCCAGGAGGTCGTGCGCGCATGTCCAGGTGACCCTCGAGTTGACAGCGCTGACATGGGTGACAGTTGGGATGGGGAGGTAAGGGCAGAAGAACGGTGTCCTCAGCAGACCGAGAGGACACTATGTCTGATAATGGATGGGTTTGGTGCCAGAGCTTGTAGCGTGAGTCTTGATGGACTCACGTCTGGAGTTCAGCGCATAGCGAGGCGGTGCGTACCGGAAGCGTGCAATTCCCCCCTACATCCGCATTCGAGCTCGGAGGATCCATCACGGGCTGTCGAAGGTGAGCACCAACGTATCCGAGCAGCCTAATGTTGAGGACTCACTGATCTTACACCAAAATGTTGGCTCTACTCATCCCAACCTCTAAACCATTTTCCAAGTCTGGTGCCGCTAGATGGACAAGATGGTTGAGGTACTCCAGCTCATTGGGATAGCTTGAAGGTGGCATTCCAGGAATTCGGCGACCGGTGCATGATTGCATTCATGTAGTTTCAGACCCGTACGATCCATGACGCAGATTGCTTGAGCAGCATACAGTCCATAGCAGCCCGAGAATGACATGTACGTGGGAGCACCAGGAAGCAACGATAGGTCATGCCAGCGAGTCTGTACTAGAAGATGTACAGGCGCCTAACTCCAGGCGGGCACTGGGAGCCGGCGCTTCAGCACATCGTGGTCGACCATGACTCCGTCGTCTTGAACCTGCTTGACTTTTCCGAAGCCTCCGAGTCAATCACTCTCTCGCGAGCAGCGGCAACTAATGCACACTATAGCTGAGTGGTACGTTGTCAATGGAATTACGCTTCATCCTCGAACTCACCCGGGCCGTCAGTGCGCCATTCGGACTCGTTGCTCCGCAGCTGTATTGCAGAGTATCGTGCGCAATGCCAGCATGTAGCTCGAGCACACGTCGGGCATGTCATTGCAGGACTACTTGAGCATCAGCATCATGGGGAACTTTCATTCAACTTGAGCGTGAGCGTAAGTGCCGTTTAACGCGCTCCGAGCTGTCGGACAAATTTCTCGTGAATTCCTTGATACAGTTGATTTTGTGAGTGTTGCACCCGTTCACGACCCCGGCCCTTCAGGCCCTTCAGCGTGTTTGTCCGTTCAATGCAGTCCGGTATCGTGGCGAGGAAATGCCTCCAGTTGCCTGGTGCATCCACACGACAACGCGATGTATCCGACTGTATCCGCCCTGCACGACCATCATCCAAGCGACGCCGACTCACGACGGCCATGAAGGTCGGGATCGTGCTTCTCCGACGTTTACCATTCCGTACCACCGCCCTCGCTCCGACGCGTCAGATGTCAGAGCTTAGTCGGTGACGGCGTGTGCTTTCGCCAGTCGCGAGACGCCCTTGTATCATTTTCTCCATCCAACTCATCATCAATTGCGGGCACCATCTGCCGTCTCGAGAGCATGGAGGGTATGACCAGGGTACAACAGAAGGTATAAAACGCGAGGGCGTGTAGAACTCGGGTTTCAAATCCCTCCCCTCCTTCTCCTTCGTTCTCCCCTATTTCTTTTCGCTACTGATTGCCATTCATTTGAATGCTAGCCCGACAGTATCGTGTCGCGCTCGCAGCCCTGACACTGCTCGCGGTGGTCAAATCAGCAACTGCGTCTATCTACAAGCGCGCTTCGGGAATAACGTCCGATGCCTCCGGCATCGACGGGCAGACCTTCGACTACATCGTCGTCGGTGCAGGCCTGACAGGCGTCACAGTTGCCGCTCGGCTCGCAGAGAATTCAGCACTCAAGGTCTTGCTCGTGGAAGTTGGAGGAGACGATAGGACCAACCCCAACGTCTACGACATCTACAAGTACAGCGTAGCGTTCAACGGACCTCTGGATTGGGCGTGGCCCACAGACCAAGGGAAAGTCATACACGGGTCAGTAATCGTCGGCGCTCTGGATGGTTTAATATTCTGACACGGTCTACCTAGTGGAAAGACCCTTGGTGGCAGCACTTCCATCAATGGCGGTGCGTGGACACGAGGGCTGAACGCACAGTACGACTCGTGGGCCAAACTACTTGAAGAGAGCGATGCCTCCGTCGGGTGGAACTGGGAGGGCATGTTTTCATACATGAAGAAGGTAGCATTCCCGACTACGTCTCGCTGCGCGCACGATTGAACTGACTGTAGCTTGCATGTGCGCATAGGCCGAGACCTTCTCTGCACCCAACGCCCAGCAGCAAGCCAAGGGCGCTGCATCAATTGCGTCCTACCATGGCACAACCGGGCCAGTGCAAGTCACGTATCCAGATCTCATGTATGGTGGCCCGCATCTGAAAGCCTTCGTGGACACGATGGTGAACGTTACGGGTATCAATCACTTCAAAGACCTGAATGGCGGCACGCCGAACTGCGTCTCGTTCACACCTCTGGTACGCTCTGCATTGTGACGCTGCCAATGTGCGTTCTCACGTCTGGTTTCTCCGTCTCCCAGAACCTGGATTGGCACGATAATGATCATCGATCCTCCTCCATCGAAGCGTATTATACCCCTGTCGAGAGCAGGCGCAAGGGCTGGACGCTGCTAATCAAGCACCAGGCACGCATTCCGCGCGTTCAATGCAGCGTTATTAGTAGTCTGACTTACCCATCTTGTAGGTGACGAAGGTTCTATTCCAGGACGGTTCCAGTGCGCCACACGTCGCAACTGGTGTAGAGTTTGCGAAGGCCGATGGCTCCGGAGCGCGGATGAGAGCGTTTGCGCGGAAAGAGGTCATTCTTGCGGCGGGTGCGATCCAGGTACGCGCCGCCCCCTAGCCCCCTTCCGGCAGCTCTAGTCTTCATCCCCAGTGAAAAGTCCGTCTGCGCCCTGCCGCCGCCAAACGCCACGGTACGCCAGCGCCAAAATCCAGCTGCGCCAGGCTGCCATTATCCGCGGCGGCGCCCCAGAGGGTGCTTCGCGCGCGTCATCCGCGCTGTTCGACGTGCGTCTCAGGGCGGTCGACGTCTCGACAACACGCAACATGTGTCTAAGCTACGTGCAAACTGGCGGCGAGACGAACAGGATTCGCTCCCACGCGTGCTCGCTCGACACATCGCTGTTGCGTCGACCCATACAGACACGCAAGCGCTCGCGCACCACCGCGCACACCGCGATGATGTCATGCGCGCGGACTTGGGACACATTCACGCTGCAGTCGCTGTGCCCTTCTTCTCACTCTTCCATCATCTGCTCGTCTCTTGCCCTCTTCTCTACTAGGCTATCCTTTTACTAGATCCTCGTATTCGACGTGAGACAGGTGAGTACATGCAATGGTACAACATCAAGTGACATGGGAGGACGGAGACCCTGGCGGAGGGGACTAGGAGGGCAGGATTGGGGCGGATGGGAGCATTGCGGAGGGGGCGAAGTGAGTGGGAGGGGCTAGGAAATGGAGATCGCGGGTGCGGGTGCAGGCGAGGCAGGAGGGAGCGGGGAACGGAGGGAGAGGAGAGGGCGCGGGGAACGGAGGGAGAGGAGAGGGCGCGGGGAGAGGGGAGAGGGGAGAGGGGAGGGGGGAGAGGGCGCGGGGAGAGGGGGGAGAGGGGTTCTCAGAAGGGTGGCGGGGAGGCGTGGCGGAGAGCAGGAGGGGAGGGGTACGGCGGGAGCAGGGGCGCATGCGAGTGGTGGGCGATCGCTGCTGTATGTACGGTGTCTGGCTCTGTACGCCATTGTACGCGCCTAGGAAGGGAATGCAAAGCAAATTTGGCGCAAGCGTACGATGGC